AGACATGTCTGGATTGATCAAGTTCGAACTTCACACACACATGGTACATCATGTCACAAATAGATATGTGCATTTGTTTCATGATCCGCTTAATAATAGCTGAATGATGGCCATTTTAAGGCCGAAAATGCATCAAAATCACGTATTTTCACAATTCCGGAACCTGATCTCAGTCATGCATGGATGGATTTTGTTCAGATTTAGAACAATGTGTTGTACATATGCAGGTGCATTTCGGTCATGATCTGCTTTGAATGTATATGTCACTCAAATATGAACGGAACGGGGACGTGTCATTGACAATGACTTGTCATCCTGAATATCATTGGAGGAAAGCAGAAAATTAGATTAGTTTTGATTTGATGGTGCAAAAGCTGAAGCCACTAGCTGTCACTGCCCTATTGAGTTGAGTTGCTGACTGGTTTTCAATGTGCATCTCAAGATCTTTATGATTAGATCAAACCATTTTCACAAAGGTGTGCTGTTTGACTAAATGCACATGTTTACTATGCCACACACTAAACACAATGACTGTGTTGTGACATGTAAGACTGCCTCAGTACATAAATTTTGTCATTGTCATACAGCAATTGATATTATTGGATGAAATAAATTGAAAGTTACTTGCATCTTCTATTTATATTCAGTAAGTCCTTACTATTACTTTGATGTTTAGGTTGGTTTGACCCAACCCAATGGTGCTGTTTTGGCAATGATAGTAAACTACATGTATATACTATAAATGCATTAGTAAGTAAAAATCTGCTAAATTAAATATATGTGAACGTGTAAAATAACAATAAAACTCATTGTTCCTTGTGAAAATAAATGATTTTACACGTATTCCATCTTTACCATACCAAATCAAAGAATGGGTTTTGTCACATTGTGTCCAGTCGAATTTTCTGTAAATCCTCCAATGAAAAATAATTGGTATTAGTGCCACAAATATCAACAGTATTTAAAAGTTTTATAAATCATCTAGTTTATGATTCACTGCCCATGTGTCTTGACACTATACATGCATGTATATTCAGGTCAATGTCCAGTAGAACTGACTTTGAACAAAAAAAGTAACTTTCCAAAGTATTTTGTGTGACATTTCAGTGAGAGTCCTCAATAATAAGATATATAAGGTTGTCTCTCTCTATATATATATGCCATTGTTGATATTTACCTGATATTCAATTACATGTTTATATACATTTTAGGGATGTCTAGTGTTAGTATGCCAGCAACTCTCACACACATACAAGTACATCATTGCTAATATAGAGATTAGAACAAAAATAAGATAAATAACAAAACAGGGCCAATACTTCCTGTTTTTGTTTGTTGTAGTGCTATGGCTGACAGAAAATTTTCAATATCAGAGATATTTGCTGCAAAAGTGTTTGAATTATAAACTAGTCTCAAAAGTTTCTAAAACTAAGACTGGAGTGGGTTCTGGACCTAATAAGTTTCACCAACCCCACTCACTTTTGGCACACTATCCTATAAAATCCCTGGGACTTACATCAGTGTTGATTTTTGTTTCTTGTATAAGGAACCAGGCAAGGCTCATTATTTACAGGTGTTTTGCTATTGCGTGATGCTCTGTTGTATATTGGTAAACTAGATGATAACATGTAAATGAAGCAATACTTCATTGTTTTTTCCCAAAAAAAAGGTTAAATCATTGAATTACATGTACTTTTTTTTTTATTTTTGTGGGTTATTATTTATAATTGCATTAAAGGTCAACTTCAAGCAACTTCCAATTATTCACTTTTTTGTGAGTATCCGGTGTATTAAAGCCCTTCCACTGAAGGGATATGAACTGTTTGTCTTTAAACATGCACCAACACATGTCTTTAATGGTATAATATTGATTTAAACATGTACGTTTTAATATTATTGTTTGTATACTGTTGATCATAATGGAAAATGATGTTTGTGAGACACGCAACAGTATTTATTAGATAAACTATCAAACCCACTAATTTACAGCTGCAGTGATTGTTGCACAAAAGCAACTAATTCACATGCCTTTAAATTTACGTGTTCTTGTCCTTATTACATCTTTATTAAT